TCCGGTGATGTCAAAACATAACCTTCCATCTCAGGCAAATTCGAAACCCCCTGAAAGAGTTGGACCCTTTTTTCGGCACGAAAAATTCGGATCCATTTGGTGAACGGATCTAGTGTCGATGTAAGCAAAACCTTAAGAGTGGTAGGCTAATCTCTTATTTGCGAGGTCACAGTTTACCATGATAAGCCAATAATCTCATCAGATTCTTTTAATAACCAGTCGGAATTTCAGTCTTGAGCTTCCAGTAAAATATAACATGGACGAATTGATTAAGCTAGTTTTAGAATATCATCTACAAAAGGCAAGACACACCACACTAGTGATTTTCCAAGATCACGTCCCTCCAAATTTTGTTTACAAAATAATTGGCTGCCAAATTTAAATTACCAACCGGTCCCTGGTATACACCAGCATTCACGAATGTTGATAGATCAGCGGTAATTTGTAAAAAGCCCAAACAGTTACCCTAGAAGCTGTTCCAATTTTTTTCACACCGAATCCTTGTTAAAAACCAGCATAGTTTAAAATCGAGATTAGATTTCACTTATAAAAAAATGTACACGATCCCTTATATGAATAGAGGCAGTTTTGGTCAGGAAAATGGTAACTATTTCAAAATAGATACGATATGACATCCTGTGCCGACAGTCATTGCACCTGCTTAGTTTCTGTAAATAAATTCATTTTCTATATCTGCAAACAGGCAAATTTTAATCTTTTAGTGAATCACTTGCCACGTTATACAAAAAAATTAAAACAGCAAACTACATCATTAAAATTCACTTAATTTAGCTATTAGTGAAATATAATTACATCTTCTCGTTTTATTAAACTGAAATTTATACCAATGCATATCACTTTCATTTACCATATGCTACCGCGTGTAGTCGCGCTAGTTCTACCTAACTTGTCCGGTTTTCTAAAATTGAATAGCATAACTTGTCCGAGAATCTGATGAATGAGATAATGAACAACACCTCCATTTAACTTAAAAAGAAATGCTATTTCCTGCACAAATTTTATAAATATCAAATGTGAAATGACAAAACATCACGCTAGTAAAGACAATGTCTACTTTCGTGCGAGTTGTGGATAGTACTTTGTAGTTTCATAGATCAAATTAAAAAAAATTGCACTGAAAATCAACAAAATTGATGTCCACGGATAAGTTTCTCCTAAGTCTTACCTAACCTTTTTAATGTGAACCTTAAATACGGACATTTCTTTCTTCAAATTGTAGTGATTGGTGTCCAAGATTAACGTTTTATGAATAGAAATAGATTCCGGCACAGTACCATAACATTTACGCATTGCCTTAATTCCAATTAACATTGAGCCCTATAAACAATTTGATAACCGGATGAGCGTTGCACATGATATACTGAAACGGTGATCTCTGTTGCCTCCATATTAGTCGCATACATTTGTTGTTAAAGCGTTGGTTGTCTAAAATAACACGTATCTGTGTTTGAGCGTTTCAGATCATCCACGTGTAATACGGATCGTGGGCGTCAAGCTTTCGTAAGCTGTTAATTTTCAGATACATAACTCTTAGTGCATTTTTATGTCGACTACATAACTTCTCATTGCTATTCTGGGATTAAGTCGGTGCGCAGATATATTGAATCACTCCAAGCTTAGCCGTTACTCCACCCACGTGCGTTTGAATGGCCTACGTAATGTAAAATAGCTGGGCCCTAGTGTGAAACAGACTGCAGACAAGTTTCTCAATCCAGAAACGTAGGCCATCCATTAGCTATATACCTATCCCACACATACTTGCTCTGATTTACTGTACCCATATGCGGCTCTACAGTAGCTAATCAACAGCTAACAGTAGACAAATATGGATGATAGGCACCTTAGAGTGAGTGGTGCAGCCGGTAAAGTGGACTCGGATGGAAGGTGACTAGTTGACGGTTCTGGCCTCTGGCTGGCCAAGAGAACATTGTTCTGTTGTATTTGACTTCTTTAGGTTAGGGATTAATATTCCTCACCATAATTCAATTTGATGCATGTGTCATCCAAACCCATTTCCATGTAAATTATAACTCCATCACATTTATTACTAATCAATATTTCACAAGTTAATATTTTGTATCATTTTGAAAATAACTTAACGGCTTACGCATTTATTTTTACTTGCATAGAGTTAATTATTGCCAATATGGGAACTTTGTCCTTATATTTCTGTGGGAAGCTTGGATGGGTTCACACCAAGACTATGACTTGCCAAGATCTCTCTGAGATTCCAAGAAATCACGACAAAATATACCGGTTCATGACACTGACAGTCCTTGCTGATGTAACAGGATCTTTTTTGTGGCTATATGCAGCACACACGTTTATTGTGCTACTAAGAAAATCTAAGTTTACCGTAAAAAGGTACCATTTTTAATGCAAATTATTGAAAACGGATCTAAAATTGAACTTCGCTACGTAAAGTGCATTCAAGCTAACCGATCATAATCATAGTAGTGAATATCCACTTTTGGACGTCTTGACCTATTCCAGGAAAACTCAGACTAAACAAATTCAACGGCATTTTATCCCAGCTCACACGTGACAGACTAAGAGTCAAAATCCTTCTTCTTTACAGACTTCACAACAATGACTAATTGTTTTAATATTGTGGATCCGTTTAATTATTATTAATCCTGTATCCCATTTTTAGATACTGATCCCAGGCACGTAGGTTACACATAAGGGTAATTTTCAAGTTAGGCAATGTCTTATTCACTATGATTGCTTTTAAGGTATTAGTTCTCGCCAGTAATTTTGGTGGTAATATAAAAATATCATGTCGCTCTATCCGTTGTTAAAGGAGATATTTTCAAGATTTATGCAGTAAAGTCAATATTTAAAAATTTGTATTTTCATTGATTCAGTTTTTTCTGGTCATTTACACACTCCAAGCCAACCTTCAGCTGGAGCAGTAATGGTATGGGCCAAATGTTTCATTTGTGAACATAATCGAAACCAATCACGTTGTTAACTCAAAATCGTTTAATTACAACAAAAAAGCATGTTTTGTTACCACTTAGGTCCATATTACTATTCTTTGCGAATCATGAGAAACATGGGTAATAACGGATTTAAGCCGCTGTAGTAAATGGAAATATTTGTTGCATTTTATTGCCTTCACGCAACTTCAAAGTGTTTGCGAAGTTACGCCAGAGCGCAACAATTTTAATGCCTAATGAACTTTTTTTAAAGATGATTAGAATAAAATTTCGCTTTGAAAGAATAAAGGTGCAAAAACGACAGGAAATTATTTAATTTTGCAAAGTTCGTATGGACATTTACTAACAATGTTAAAAAGAATGAGAGCCTCATTAGTAGACTTATATTTACTAAGTTGTACCAATTCTATTGCTTTAAAAGTAGTGGCTTTGGCGATTTAGAGACGATTAATCTGTAAATCAATGTCAAATCTTAAAATGGTACAGAATCTATTCTGGTGCGATGCAGATTGTGTAAGGCGGTTTAATTCACAAAGGATTAGAATATGCCAAAAATATTTGCCCTTTATTGATGCTAATATCAGCGTTTTTTGCATTATATACCTGAAGTATTCTAAATAGCTCTACCAATTCAAAGTGTTAAATGGTTTTTTTGTAATAAATTAATTGTTACAGGCTGCACATAAATAAAATTCAAACTACGAATTTTTTTAACCTGTAGTTAGGCTATAAACTTTTAACTATATTAATCAATATTAAAAGGACAAATTCAATGAATGTTTTAATAAATCGATGTTTGATTTTGTCACTCACCGCGTCATCTGAAATTCCTTGTACGGATTTTGGATCGATAATCAGTAAAGTGTTTGTGAATGCCCTGTCTGTCACCTAAGCCCTTTAGGGTCTGACGTATGCTTGGTAGCACATTGTGTTGCTTGTTTGTGTTATGTCATGGAAGTAATTGGCCCATTTTTTCGGGATCGCTCATTTCATGCTAGACGTTTTAGGCTGTAACCGCTGCAACTTTGTATGCATATATGGCGAATAGTAGTGAATCTTGCTGGATACAGCACAAAATGTTCTAATAAGACCTAATATTGCTACTAATGTGGCCCGATCTAAATGTCTGCACTTCTAAATCGCTCATAGATTTTGTTGCACTCATTAAGTGTTGGAGCCCATCATTTCTGTGTGTCAACTCCCATTTCACCTATTGACCTTCTGAAATGTTGGCTTATTTTTTTATTACTAAATTAATTAACCCTTTTGACTAATTTTACCTTCTGTCTATTGGCTAGTATAAATGTTCACTCATTCTGCTTAGGGCTGCTGTGTCGGTAAGATCCATGTACCTTCAAACTCCCTACTTTCATCTTGAATTGGTTCTCATTGATTTTTTTATTATCTACATAAAATAGTATTTGAAGAAGAAACCACGGTCCGTATTTTGTTGAGCGTTTTACTTACTTTACATTGAAGTAGCCTACATATGCATATTAGTGTTCGCAAACTCAGAGTACTGACCAGGATAAGCACTTTACTGATCCTACTATGTGCTTCTTTTATTTGCATTAATGTGTTTTTTTCGTTAGAGGTCAAGCTGCTCTTGACCTGCATTAATGCCAATGCCTGTTTAAAAAACCCAATCGCTCTTTGGCCTTACCAGCGGCGTTCCCATCAATTTTAGTTGACTTTCTACATTTTTCACACAAGGGTTTCTTGCCTATGTCCGATGCATTGTTCACTTTTCTTAATCGCACATGAATCAAACAAGGTTGGCTTTAACCTCAAAATCTTCACAGATGTTCCTTTTCATCACACCACGGTCAAATTTTTGGTTGGAACTGTTGGTTTATGCAAAGCCATTACCTAGGGGGATAGATAGATGCTTCAAATCTCATAATGCACCAAATGACAACTCACTGCTTGCTTTATCCGCAAACATTTACCGGCACTTGTGTAATTACCACGTTTCTTAATATGCTAAAATTAAATTCAGTGTTTTTTTGTTTATTTTAGGCCTTTGAAGTTTTTGGTATGACCTCCGATGTCCAAGCAGGTGGAGATGGACGGCCGCTCGAGTTTGATGTTGTCCCAGTAGATCCCAACTTTGAATTACCTGCAAAACTCTTTGTAGACTGGAACGTTGGTCTCTACAGCAAACTGCAAACTCTGAACGCGGTGAGGTTGTGCAAATGCTTTCGGAAATGCATGATATGTCCAATTAGTCGGCAGCAATCTCACTTTCCCTGATTACATGCAAATCGCACACTCCTTCTACTCATTCCCACAATGTGATGCTTGTTAATTAGGCAACATTTTTATGTGACCAACTTCTTGTTTTAGGAGTTTGTTGGGATGGGACACGCGCCGTGCTTATTCAAGAAGGACTCTTCCTACGTTACAGTCCACTTCAACGCTTTTGTCACTGCGTGCTATGCATTGTTTGAGAGATACCTGCAAAACATAAACGCCCGCGAGACTGTTGATGAAAAGTGAGTTTCCTATTCCGCTTGGTTTTCGTTTGACTTGGAACATTGATAAAACGTTCAAAGTTGGCTACATTTGCCACAGCAATCCAATTTTCCTTGGAATTCTGACACTGTGCGCTCAACGATGCAATTGGTATTGGTATCACGGCAAACCACTCGTTCTTATTTGACTGTCTTTCAGCATTATGCGTCTGTCAATTGATCTGGAGCACTCCAGGAAGATGCACAGTCGCTGCAAGGCGGAACTCGAGTTGTCGCAGACGGCAGTTCATCAGGGCAAGGAGCGAGAACGGAAACTGGAGGCAGAGAAGTCGACTTTGTGCGCTCAGCTTCGGGCCTCAAATGAATCGGTGAGTTGTGTCGGATGGTTGTCCAGTCATCCGCCCGACCTCTCACAACTGTCCAACTGCTCACCTCCAACTACGAAGTCGATGTTACTCTTGGCACCGTCCTGTCTGGTTCACCTCAGCAGCCAGTCGTGTCGATGTGGCGCCAATCGGTCTGGTTTTTTGCAATCCACAGTTTGAAATCGTCGCAGATGTACATTGCCACTTTCTTGTGCGGTTAGCACTGGTTTAAACAATCGGCAGGCGGGCAAGCAATGCTATACTCAAGCCTTAAAACGGTTGGCTTGTCCGATAGCCTGCGAGGGTCTGTCAGATTTCCAATTTACTTCTTCGTTGCAGAGATGTGTGCTCCTGTTGCATTGTTATTCATTACCTATGCATTTCAGTCAAGCATTAATCTACCTCACCAACTTCCTGCCCCCTCCCCACGTGTTACCCCTGGCAACGCCTATTTCCCGTGTGAATTCCGGTCTACGATGTGCTGCCCCACTAGATCATTCGCAGTGTATGACAGCGGTGTTGCATGGTCTCGTGACTTTTAATCTACACACCATAGTACCACCACTCACATTAGAGGACCACGCTCCATCTGTGGCATTGTCCGAAAGTCCCAAGATGTAAGAAGCCCCACAAATCTCGTCCCATAGCTATGAAAAATAAATAAACGAATGCTAAGTTGCGAGTGAGAAATGTTCATCAGTAGGAAATGTAAAAATGGCTGAAATAATGCTCCACTAGTTTCCATGGGTCTTCGCTAGGTTAGTTTCCAAGATAATTGACTAAGAATAAGTTAGCACAAACACTTGATAACCGGAAATGCTTCCATTCCTATCACTTTCCGCAGTCTTGTTTAATTTAAGAAGGTGAAATTTTAGATGACCTAGTGAAAAGACAGTAACTGCTTCGACTTATGGGTTATTCATGTCAAAAGAGGCCCATTTCAGAGGCCACTTGAAGGTATTCTGCGAATTTAATTCATATGTAACCACAACATTCTTGTGTTTCCTCTTCTCTCTATATAAGAGGGTCTAGATTGAATGGTTTCTGCTGAAACATTCATCCACCCATTCCTTCTGCAGTCTATGGGGATATTTTCACACTGATTTGCTGCATTTCCGCTGTCAGATCCGCCGAATGCGCTCCGACATGCAGCACCGCACCACGCAGTTTCAGCACGAAGTGAAAAAGCGCGAGCAGGAGTCGCTTGGGTTGAAGAACCGCCTTAACCTCCTCCTTCGAGGCCAGTCGCAGTCGCGGTGTGTTCGCTCGAGTAGCGCCGTTGCTGGCTCGCGGAAGATCGAGCGGTTGACCTCCTCCGCGTCCGCTACAACCGACTCCACAGAAGAACACGGCACTCTCAGGAGTCAGGTTATTCCTTGCTCTTATTCTTCACCGCTCCTTTGCCCCCTTTTCGTCCACGTCATAGTCTGATCACGTGGATGCACAGTTTACGGTTTCACAACCCGATCCTCTGTTTCACTCCCACGAAGTTGTAGTGACTTTTAAGAGTTGACTACGCACAAAATCACTAGAACTGTTCCAGGTACGGGTTATAGAAGATTTGACGTCTCTCCCGCTAACAAGTAGAATACTTAAAGACGACTATCCAACTTGGAAACCGTCAAACAATAAACACAAATTAATACCAGGGGTATGACTTAATTTCTACAGATTCTTTCTTCGACCTTAAAGTTTCGCAGTATTTTATGGCTTTGAAATGAGTCGACGGAGGGTTTCAGAATGTCGGACGGCGAGTCTGCGTGAGTAACATTAGCTCTGATAATAAGAGGGTTGATGATGGCAACTGATAAACACTACATTCGATGGCACTGCATTTTATACGAAATCCAAATACAAGGAAAAATGCCAATTTGTAGTGTTCTTGGGGCCAAAGTCCTGTCTTATGGAACGTCTAATTACTGGTGCAAACGTTTTAGAAATGGTGATTTTGCTCTTAGTGACCATCCTCGGAATCGCAAGCCCAACTCAAACGCAACAAGAGTTTGCAGTTGAGTTAGGAATCACCTATACTGCAATTTCCTAGAGCCTGCGTCACCAAATAGGAAAAATTGAAGGTCTTGGAAGTTGGGTCCCACATATGTCTTTCACTGCTTGCCTGGCGGCAGCAAAAAATGGACTGATTGTGGAAAATTGTGACTTGTGGTGAAGAGTACATTTTTGCGTGAGAATCTCAAACGTAAAAAGTCGTTGGTAGGCCCCGGACAACCCAGTACATCGACGCCAAAACAGGACATCCACTTGAAGCAGGTTCTTCTGTGTGTTTGCTGGTTGGACGTTTGTGGGGTGTACTTGATTACGAACTTGTGGAAACTGGTCAGACGGTGACGGCAGCAGAGCGCTACAGCCGACAATGGAACAAACTGAGTGACGTACCTTATCGTAAAAGGCCATTTACTGGGCAAGGAAGCGGGCGACTTAGGACACCCTCCTGAACTTGGGACGGAAAGTTCTCCCACGACGGCATTCGTACGTTACCCGAGAGGTCATACAAGACGACGGAGAATATCCTCAAGACTAAGTTCGTTGCTGAAAAATCTCTACAACTTAATTCATACACCTAATAATAATACGTAACAAAACAACAAACGAGGTTAGTGAAATAGCTCGCTGATGTGATGATAGACCAGGGCGGCAGTCGGCGACGTAGACTCGTCTGTGTTTCTTTCGTCTGACACGACCACCACTCACCGAGAGTTTCCTGTTCTGTTTTCAGCTCGATCTCGCGCGTAGCATGCTGGCGCACCTGACCTCACGGGAGAACGACTTGTTCTACGAGAACCGTGAACTGCGCGACTTGATTAGCGTCCTCTCCTCGCGCATGGTGCGCTTCTCCCGCCACCTCAAACTCCGCCGACTTTGGCGCCGTGACGTCGTCGCTGTCGTGGATGCAGACGACGACGACGACGCCAACGACGAGGTGGAGGAGGAGGAGGAGACGTCGTTGGACGGTGTGAGTGGAGACGAAGCAGTAGACGCAACCAACGATTTCTCTGCCTCCTTCTCCTCTTCCTCCACCTCTTCGTCCGACGAGGGTGAGCAAGCCGCTTCCGGATTGGCTAAATCTGGCTTGATTTTATTGGTTACAACCTCATCGTTGGTTTTGGATGTTAACCAAACCACTTCCTCTTCATGCGTAGTGACTAATCAACTATTTCAGTTTGGCAAGAGTGAACACAGGCAAGATGTAGACGCATTAACGAGCAAATGTACAATCTTGATTGACAGTGCTTTTGGTATGCAATCTGACGCCGCGTCATGTCAAACGAAGTAAGTCCATTCTCGCACGGCTTGTTTATGCAATTCGTTGACACAATCACAGATCTAAATGCCAAGCTCCCTAGCCCAAATCCATGCAAACACGTGCCCCCAATTTCCATCAATGTCTCATTGGTTAATTAGTGGGACGAGTGATTTAGTTTTGATTACATGAGTACTTTTAATAATCTGCCAGGTCCCCATTCCCGTCGGTTGATTGTCGCAATCTGTTGGGGATGGCTAAGGAGTCAGCTCCTTCTAAACGGAGGTGCTACGTAAGGCATTGCACTTTGGCTGTAAAAGGCTCTAAATAATTTTGCCCCGAGAAGGTACTCCTTGGAACTTTCGGAAGCATTTTTAACTTCACTGTATCTCTGGGTTACCTAGCATTTTGCCAGTGTCAAATTTCTGAAAGTTGAAGTTTGCGTTGCGAAAAAATCCAGATACGTTGGTGACCGAAGCAGAACGTGCTATCCCAGTGGAAAGGCTCCTCTCAATGTAACTTTCTTTGTTGAAAAAATCGTTTTTTTTCTCGTTTCGTCAAAAACCGTCGGACCGTCACCTTAAGTTCATTTTTTTCCCCAGTTAAATGTCGCTTTCTTGGTTGGAGTTTCGCTGTGAGGGAGAAGTCGACGCCGAAAACGCACTTCAACCCTGCGTGACGCTTTTTGTCGCGTGGTTTATGCACACTGAGGGCTTTTACGTCAAGAAAAGACGAGGCAGTTGACTTGTATGTCGGTTTTTATAGTGTGAATAGAAAACTAGACCTGATTGTATTAATGCCAAATCGCCCGTTTAATCTGGCCACATGTCGTGCGACTCCGTGGTCCCCTGGTCGTTTTCGGTAAAAAAAATAACCTGAATTAAATGCGATTTAGCCTCATCATTGAAGAATTTTGCGATTCGCCAATTTTGGTCTGTTTTCCTCCATCGCTTCCTAGTCCAGTTTTCTTGGAACCTGCCAAGAAACGTCTTGGTCTCTTGGAAGCTGTCAGCTGGTTTCGTGATCTCTTTTGGTGCGATTCAGCCTTCGATGTGGCTCGAGCTGGTCCAACACGAAGCAGAGCCGTTGTTGTCGTTGTTTCGGCCAACGCTGTCGCTATTAATGTGTCAGAGACGGCCTGAGTGTGTTTTAATTGCTGTGTCTGAGTCCTATGTCCCTTCTGCGACCTCTGGCACACATTTATGACCGCAATCGATCTCAATCTGACATAATGCCAGGCTCCACAGTGCCAACACGCGGAAGAGGGGGTGCCTCTTGATCTCCTTCGACGATTTGTGTCGGGTGATTCTCTATTCGATTTTGGCTGACGAGGGCTGGGAGGGCCAGAAATGGGAGGTGTTTTTCGGATACGTTGGACCGTATTGACCTCGGGAGCACTGTGGCCCCCAGCTTGGACCATTTTGGAGTCATGCAGCACGCTGCTCCAGTGTAGGTACTCATCGCGGATATTGTCCAGCGTCACAGAGGAATTTTTGGTAAATCAGATCTGTGTTCTTGGGAATTTGAAGGCTGCATATGAGAATGTGACCTTTGAGCTGGTCATCGGTCATTGATTTGAACTGACTTTTCACGCACTCTCGATTGACCACTGCTAGATGGTCAAGGAAGTCGTCAAACACTCCTATCGCGAGTTTGAGACATTGGTACCGGGTACTGAATAAGGAGGTGCGTTCTCAAACATGCTCTTGAGATTTTGAACGGTTTCTTCAAAAGTGGAGTCGAGAGAGGACTTTGGGAGGATCGTGTCACTTTATCTCCTCAGTTCAGCTGGGCCCAGTTTGCGGGTGAGGAGTCTAACCTTCCATGAGTCATCCTGGGAAGCGAGATCGACTCGGAACAGGTCTTCGTAACGCCGATACCAGGACTCAAACGTTACGCCGTTCTCCGGACCATAGGAAAACTCCGAGATACTGTTGGTGAGGCCGTCAATTGACGGCGTACTGGTGAGAGCGGACTGAGACGGCTGGCGGTCTGCAAGCATTGACAATTGCCACTCGAGTGATTGTTCCATCGCCTTGTCACTCATCTCACCTGCGTCGCCAAATTTGTTACGTTTGCCCGTAACAAAGAGAAAGCCACCCAAAACGGTACCTGATCCCTTGTTGACGCTAGCACCAACCCTCTTACGCTAATGCAAGAACAAGACCAGAGCTCGTGTAAAGAGCTCTATTCACGTCAGCCACGTGCGGAGTTGAGTTGACTTTGACCAGATAAAAAGCGTAATAAAACATGTGTCAGTGAATTAGTGCAAATTGTGCCAGAAACCAATGAAGAGAAGTCTTGGGGAATCGTGGATCCCCAATACAATCAGTGTTTGATCTGGCCATCATCAACATCTGTAGGTCCGCCAGAACGACAATCACACTAACTTCATCGCGCTGTCGACAGCGGATGTAATCCACTCTACAATATCTCCGACCTCTTCACGACAAATTGATCTGCCCTTGGCATCACCCCTAAGGGCATGTTGTAGGGGCAAATGTCACGCGGAGGTTGCGAATGCGCTGTATTTGAGTCATTACTGTTTTCAACTTTTGAAGAATTAAATCGTTAACCTCGGCGATTCGTCGTTTTGAGGTCGCAAGCAATGCGTGTCGCGTCCCGGTACCTCTATCCCTCCTTCAAACTCCGAACTCTTGATTAGTGTCTTGACGTGGTGCCAGATACATCACTGAGTATCCGAGTTGGCTAATGTGTTTGTTGACTGCTACAATCTGGGTGAATTTGTAAAAAGTGAAGTGGAAAGCTAGAGAGGTACGCGCACAGGAGAGTGTGTGTGTGTGTGTAAGCGGGGTCAGCGTGTGTGTCGGCTAGCGAGCGTGAGCCAGCACAGTTCACAGCAGTGCCGAGTTGTCATTTCCGATTGCAGACGATGTCGCCGCGTCGGGATCACGGCGCGACCGCCGACGCCAGTCCGCCAACGTGCACGCCCTCCTGCTGGAGATGCCCTTCCACATGGTGCGCGACCACCTCACCCGTCGCGTCCACCGTCTCTCGCGTCGCCTCTGGCGCGAGGTGAAGGCCGTGGGAGCGTCGACTTCGCCTCCTCGTGTCGGCGATGACGCCACCAGTGAAGGTAAGTCCTCCGCTGCAGGTTTCACAGACCCCTCCGAATTCACCTTCAAGTTGTAGACGACCAGACATTGTTGAGCACTGGCGACACCTCGACGAAACTGGCCCTGGAGGAGGAGTTGAGTCGGTGCAGGCTGAAGTTGGATCAGTGTGAACGGCAACTCAAGGCAGACGGCCTCATTGCTGTAAGTCACCTGTTCGTGTGTGTGTGTGTGTGTGTGTGGCCTGCTGATGTTCTCCTCTCTCAAGCTTTCATCTGGTAGAAATTTGCCGGGGGTTTTACACGCAAACTCCGCGGTGGGATGGTCCGCAATGCATTGAAAACCGACAAAGCGGTGACCGATCGAGCGATTTGAATCAAGCTAGTAAAAAAAAAGCCTCCGAGGTTGTTGTACCGAGAAGCCAACAACGTCTCGCGCTTGTCAAACCGGTTCTTGTGATCTTCGTCGTTGTTTACTCGCGCCTCTCCGCCCGTCCCTTCCCCCACTTGGAATTTGTATTAAAGCAGCGCAAGCAATTGCGCCTTGCCGACGCGTTTGGTTGTCAGGTAGCTCACGCCACCTTCTGGTGAAACCACTCCAGCGATTCAAGACGACAGCGAGTGGTTTTGGGTAGTCATTAGTTCGACTCTCGACCCTGGTCTAAGGCGCATCCAAACGCGCCTCCATCGATGTAAATCTGGCAATTTTGTGGCGCCGTTTCATCGTCGAGATCGTGTCTTGAGCACGCCACGGTCAGACGTCGAAAGTACAGACGTTTTTTCCTAAACACACACACAGCACACTAAATCCGAGCAAATTGGCGACTTGTTGACCGAATGAGCCGTCGAACCTCACAGATACAATGACCTGGAGGACGAATTCCCAAGGTCAAAGGTCAGCGGGTTGGCACTGCGGTTTCGATTAGTGGGGCGGCAGAAGTGGGGGGATTACAAACCCTAAAGCGTTTGCCCAGACCGCATCACGCCTGTCCGATTTGGACCACTAGCATCGTCGATCACGTCTGCGTTTGAAATTTTCGCGGATGTCGTGGGGCCGAGCCTCTACACACACACACACACGGCGCCTCGTCTCCAACCAGATCATTAAAACAACGCATGGAAGTAATACTAAACGTAAGGCGCCATTTCTTGCATTTGAAGAGACGTCGTGCCCACACAAACGGAAGACCGATCGGAGTGCACACTAGCTTGCTGTCGACGTCTTGATGTTCGAGAATTCTAGTTTAGTCTGGCCAACGACTTGGAAATCGACTCGAGGACATGATCGCCGTGATGCGTGCAAAGTTCAAACACCATTCGCTAAGTCGGCCTCTCTACTTTATGGATTCTGTCAGTGTATTTTGATAGAACACCGCGTGGCTTGCTTGCTTGCTTTCGGTTACAGGTCCAGTCTCCGCTGTGGGAAATCTCAAGGTCGTCCAGAGATAGTATTTGCTGATTGGCTGGACTGGTGAACACGTGTGTTGTCGTGCAGCACACACGCACACACCCAGACATTTGGGATAATCGTCTTTGGTCGCATGTTGTCGCGCGCACACACACATGCGCACACGTGGTCACTCAGGCCGGCGTTTAAATGCACACATCATCTCGGATTGCCGTATTTCCGCCCATTTACTCATATTTGGCTGCGTACGCATTACTACCGCTTTGATGTCATTGGTCGAATAAACACTTCAAGGTCAGAGGGGTAAAGAAAGCGCTGAGGTGGCTTGGATTACTGCCTTGTTCAGAAATTAGTGACTTGCGCCACAGGTCGTCTGGCGGTAATCAATTCAAATTCAAATCGACCGCCCACTGTGCGCTCGAGTCCAGTAAAACAATGCAGGTGTAGGTGAGGGAGCGTAGAGCGGTAACCAACGATTAAGCGGCAAATCTCAACACGGATTGGCTTCCCACTCAAATCAGGGCGTTCTGTGTGTGTCTACCGTGGTCATTTCGCCTTAGCCACGTAGCATTGCTGGAGGTAACTTGCACACCCCCGATCCATTATCTCAATCTTATGGCCTGCCTAGCCGCCAGCTCTCGGCAGCGTCCGACGCGCCGACTCGCCTTGTCTGCCTTGCGGAAAACGCACCATCGGTTCACGCTCCGTGGAGACTGCAGATCCATCTGCGTCAAGTTGCGAACAAGCTCCAATCGGGTCGGCTTGTAGCTCCTCGGTAGAGCTGCTTTCTGAAAGTGAATTCACCGCGGAACGGTCTCCGCGTCGCCTCCAGGTTCGACTGCCTTTTAATCTCCAACATCTCTTCCCACGCCTTACGTGTGCTCCGTAACTTGGTGAAGTGAAATCTTTAAATATTACTTATTACTTAAAAGTAATGAGTAGAAATCTGAAAATCTGGTATGTAGCGCAATTTTAATTTCACGAGAAACGGCTTTAAAAATTACTTAAAACATCATCTCGTGCCTCCTAGTAGTTTTTGCTTAGACTTGCGATTCGTTTATAATATGAAACACTTTTTTGCATAACGACGTCAAATGATATAATGAGTAGTACCAAGATAAATGCCACAGTTGATTAAACGAGTCTTTGCCTCTGTCACTGATTTTTCTTCCTGTATTTCAAGATCCCAGACTCGCCTAACGCAATACTCCAGCAGTATTCGCCAAGACAAAGTAATGGTGAGTGCGCTCTCTTTGCAGTTTGAATCTCCATTACTTAAGCGGTACGCATGTCAACATTCACCTCGATTCCATCATTGGGGACACTACGTCTGAGGAATTGGCGTTTCCTCTGATGTTTCCCAACAAAATGTGTGTGTGTGTGTTTTTATTGGCAATGTAGTAGGTACTTCGGGAGGTCAATGTTTCAGCGAAATCTGTCAATCCATCGGCGTTTCACATAAAGTGTTTAATTTTTTTCACCACGACAAATTTCCTGTTCTATTTCCACAGATCTACCTGTCCTAGCGCAGCTAGTGCTAATCTCGAGGTCACGAGAACACGTGTCTCTCCAGCCGGCACTCATTTTGAATTAACCAATCACGTTACGAGTCAGTAAATGGCCAATCAAATGCCATAACACACAACAAGCGCCTCATCCTCCAGCCAATAATAATACACAGCTGTTTTATTCCGCTTCTGAATCGATAATCGACTTGGTGGGGGTAAATGTGTATTACATTCAACAATCCCTGCAAGCATGGTCATCGTCTAGTGGTCAAGTCAAGGTCGGATCTCTTGTAGTTAAGAGGTCAGCTGTTGTATTCCACTTCTGAATCGATAATCGATTTGGTGGTGGTAAATGTGCAATACATTCAACAATCCCTCCAAGCGTGGTCATCGTCTAGTGGTCAAGTCAAGGTCAGATCACTTTTAGTTAAGAGGTCAGCGTTCCTCGCTAGAAGTATGAAACTACGGCTAAATTTTTGTCTGGTATGCGTGTTATGAAGCCTACGTAGTGCTAGCATGTCACATTTCGACTGTGCCGAGTCAACCACACGTGTACCTTCTTGTCGAGGTTGCCGACTTTTTTTCATCTGGCGTTTTAAAAGTCATCACTTAGCAGATGGGTAAAGTGGGTGTGCATTCGCATTGCTTCCAGCCTCCAAGCATTCCCGATGAAGCACAGGTCGGCAGTGATGCTGTCTCCTCAACACGGTTTCTCACTCCTTCCGTGATGCGCACAAAGTCATGCCTAGGCGACGTATGAGTAATGGAGGCTGCCAGCCAATAGCAATCAAATGAATTATCCAGTGTCCAATCATCTTCACGTGTGGTCAGGTGATAAGAGCGGTGTGTGATTGGACGAAAAGTACTGGGCGACAGAGTTTTACCACAGTAGTGAAGCCAGTCACCACTACAAACCTGTCAACTCATCTCTCACCTAACCAGTCACATCCTTAGACGGTAAGGATCTAGTTCTGGGATACTGATCCACCCCCGTTATCAGAGAGGGGCACCTCGTGTGTTCCTTTGTCTCGCTTGTCCACATGACCCTTGACCTAGAATCTGCCTTTTTGCGAATCTGAGGTGGTTCAGACATCGGTCAGACCCCCCTCCCTCGCCGTCAACCTCATTTAATCAATGCTTGTCAAGCTGATTTCTTCTCCCCTCTAGAGACTGCCTGCACCGCCAAAGCCGACTTCACTCCGACGCCACGACGTCTGCGTGCGCGTCGTTGGCCGCACCGGAACTCGAACCGACGCAAGGCCACCAGCGCCCTCCAACTACCTCAGCAACCACATCCACCTTAACTCACACCGATTTGTGCGTCTGTGTGTGTGTTGTTTTTTGGAATCGTCATATTTCTATAAAGCCCTTTGCAAAAAAATTGTACAACTTGTGAATCAGCTTGCTGTTTCGCGTGCTTGTGTGCTTTTCTTGGCGCTTAAGTCGGTCCTCTAACGGACATGCAACTGCCGTAGTCTGTCCGCCGAACCGCGCTACCTGCATTGAGGTGTTGTTGTTTGTGTTGTAGTGCAAGTCGGATTTATGTAATGCGGCAAATTAACTTGCACCGTGATTGATGCCTCGACACTGTGCACCTGCGCGCTTAATTTTGCAGCCGACTTGATTAGCGCAGAATGCCTGATGTCTAGTATGGAGGAGACAGGTTCAACAGAGCAAGCCTCAGTGACCAACCACGTGCTGAGTTCGGCGTGGTCAAATATGTCTGCGCCCTTGTGCAACACTGTGTGGCGACGGATCAGGGTGCAGACATATTGGACCACCTGGCCTCAGCCAATCCTGTGTCTCTCTGCGTTCCAATGGCATGCGAGGAAGATGAGCAGCCAACCAGAGAAGGACACGACTGAGGAGCAGTATATAATGAGCGGCGTGGCCAGCGTAGCGGACTCGGATGGAAGGCGCCTGACGTGTGGCTCTGGCTCGTGATTGGTCAATCAAGCCTGTTCTGTTGTACCAGTCTTCTTCCTATTAGAGCTCGGGTATTCTACAACTGCATTATTTTCTTACGCTTCGGGAAAAATGCAAAAATGACGTGCAAGTCAGCGCAATCGCTATTGGCTGCACGTTTAGGCAACAATGTGGTGAGTGTGCATCAGCAATCGGCAGACTTTGATTAAATCAGATGTGGGAAGCTCAAGTGTGTAGGACCTTGGGGGTTCATAGCGTTCGAGCATGGATCAGCTTGGTGTGCAATTGCGAGTCCTTAAAAATTGCATATCTTTAAAGAAGTTTGCCGCTTTGTGACAGTGACCCATGACAACCCCTAGCTGCTCCACTTTCTGGAGTTTTTTTGCTCAACCTCGTTATAATGTACCCGGGAATCCAAAAAGGGGGGGTCCCAATTCGGAGTAATGAGCTACTCTTATCGGAGCATCCGGGGTAGCCGTCTAAATTTCAAGCTTTCAAGAGAATTCATCCAGGAATATATGCAGTTTCAGAAGCCAATGGTCTCATTCATTAATTCGGCTGTGCTTGTCAAGCGAGGATGTGTTTGATGCGTTCAAATGCCGACGAATCGAGAGGCGAAGTGGCCTAAGTTTGTTAAATAAATACTGGTATTGAGTTTTTTAGTGAAATATGGTGTGTTACTCATCCACGTTCTATCAAATTAAAACCCAACGCGACGAAACCCGAAGCAAAAGTGTGGATTAGACGCGTGCAACCGTTTATCACCCAAAATCAGGTTGGGGAGCTTATCCTTCCTTCAAAAGCGATCAGAAGTTAGGTTTTTTAACAATCCAACATGTTGCACTAATGCTCCATGCGTGGAAGTCTCCTTCATCATATTTCTGCTCTCCGTTGTTCGACAATGTCGTTTCAAATGTTTTGTGAATCGATTCAATTGGCACGTTCGGTGGATCGAGACTTTCGAATGCCGGATTCTGGCGAGATTCGATGCTTCAAGTCGCCGCACCCCTGTGTCTAGAAACGAACGATGATTCCGAAAAGAACTAACCCACCAATCAGAGGTCCAGAAACCGGTGATAACCTTGGGAAAATCTAGCCAATCGGATGAGAGCTTTACTCTAAGTATTCAACAATTGGAGATTCAATGGGTGTCCTGGATTAATTTTGTCAACGAATTTACCAATTCGCGCAATCCGCCAATTCTAAGTAATGGCGACAGACCATCTGTAATCACAGTCATTTGTGTATGTGTTTGTTTTTCTACAGGAAGTTGGGCGTAATTTATGCACTTTGATATATTTCATATGGCTTTGTAAACACCGAGACACGCCACGACATATGGCGCTGCAAGGCGCGCCACAGTCGCAACGCGATCGTGCAATTTCTCACTACTTGTCGGACCTAAAACGCCTAAAATTGTTTCTATTGTTTTGTGTGTGTGTGTGTGTGTGTGTCATTGTTGAAAATGCAAGCTTACGTGTGGCCGTAATTGGATGCTTAAATTGAATGCAGTTTCGATTTTCGAAGGCGTTGACGATTGAGGGTGTGGCGGGCCCCGATGCGGTTTTGGGGAACCACATCGGTACCGGCAATCTGCGTTGGAAAGTGCGGACGGCGCGTAGCTCAACTTATTGACGCAGTAGCGGTGTGTGGCTGTACAGGATAACAAGTGCGTTTACATAGCTTCGCTAAGCATCGGTCCCTGAACAAACAGATTTTACGTGAAGTGTTGCCTCAAGTTTGCTGGCTTGCTGCTCGCCACAGTTCTTTCCCTGGTAAAAGGAATTGGCGAATGTTTCCTTCGGACAGGAATTTCGAAGGGTGGGTCGTAAGTGCTGTGCAGTCGACTTGCGGTGTCCTAGACGAGTGGGGAACCTGGAAGCTGGCACTCGAGAGTCGAGAACCGAAGTGAGTTACGCGAAATTGAAACCAAAATGCGGTAAACTAGGCAAGATTCGTAAAAAAATGAGGTGGGTCGTGTTTGAGACAGACGATGGTCGGGATATGAGAACAGCAGGGGGGTCAGTCAGTGTCACGATTAAGCCAACGGACGCGCCTACCATAGCGTGTAGTGGTATTCGTTTTTTTTGTCAAGTCGTTCGAGATGGATCGCTGTTGCCGATGCAACCTTTTCCGCCAGCTGGATGCCGAATCGTAAGATCGTTTGTGTTGTTCGATCTGGTTGGGAGACGAGAACCGGGCCGAGAATGGATCAAAGAGACTTGCCAAGCAAGCGTCGAATGTCGAGATCGTTGAGTCGAAAGATGCGGCCAGAATAAGAAAAAAATGAGAGTCAAATGATGAGGTTAGAATGATTGATTTTCGCCAGCATGTGTTAGGAATCGGTGTTCATAGTTTAGAGACTAAGCAGCATTCAGCGAATTGGCGTTGTTCGGAGGACAAGAGGGAGCCGGAGACTGGTCGTCCGATGGTGATTGGTTTGAGAGTTGGAGTACGAAAGCAGGCTGATTAAGGCGATCGTTGAGGGTGGAAGCTAGGTTGAGCGATGGGACAGAAAAAGGTCCAATAGTCGGGCGATGTAGAAGTACAGTGGTCACACGTTGAGATTCGAAGGGGTGACTTTTCCGTGAGACGTGATACACCAAATAACCTCGCCATTTAAGTCGTACCCTAAATGTGCCAATCGTTATGTCGTAGAAGGTCGATAAACGTTCAAGGTCGTGAGCGCAGTCATGATAAACGAGTCGAATGGAATCGATGGGCCATTTCTTTCTCTGAAAGGTCAGTTGACGGTGTGCTGTAGTTACGTTTGCTGTCCGGCGTGGACGAGATAAAAAATCGGGAGTCGAGTAAATCAGATGTTGAAGGACTAGGTGAGAGTCGGCTGATAAACGGTAGCCAATCACGCAGGAGCGAATTAAGAGTCAAGATGAGCATAGCGAATGGTAAACCATGAGCTATACAAATCGAGTAAGAGCGGTTCATAGGCCATCTAAGCACAAAGTTGATTTTTAGCTTGAAAAAGGTCAAACGTGGTCAGTAGCGGGGTCACCATTTGTTGCGGCTCCCCAGTGCGGTTTCGGGGAACCACATGAGGGCTGACAATCTACGTTGACAAGGCCCGACCGAAAGAAAGATTAAAAAGTGCAGACGGTACGTAGCCCGACTTATTGATTGATGGAGGAGCGGCGTGTGCGTTTCTGTACAGGATAACAAGTGTATCGATCTCTAAACGCACGCAATTGCGTGACGTGCATTCACGACAAAATCGATTGATCTGTGTTCTCTCGCGCTTGCACGCTGCGTTCGCTCACGACTCCTAACTGTGCTCGCTTGCTGCTCGCCACAACGGAAGAATGCCGGTTGCGGAATTGGGCCTTTGTGGGTTTATAATTCACGAACTGCCCAACCAATCAGCGCGCTTGCTTAACAGGTGCACAGTCGACTACAAATCGAGGTGCCGAAAGGCGTCCACTATATTCATGACAGTCATATAAACATCCAAATGCGCTATTTGTCATTTCAACTAATTTCATTTGTCACCGCGCTTTATTATGCGCAGATTTTAAATTTCTCATACTGTCTGTTTTGAAGATAATTTCGTCGCTGGTGGCGTACTAAAATTAATCAATCCGTTCATTTTACATGCATTAAAACATTTTGACAATAAAATTCTTTTGTCCACCTTATATACTGTTTCAGGCAAGCCCAATAACTTGTTAATTTAATTTTTTTAAACATAATTTCATTTCCATTTGTGTGTCTTTACGCCCTGCGTTCAGACATCATGCCAATCAAAATTGGAACCAGGCAGTGTCATGGTTATCATTTTCTGCTCACGCCATTTCCCGACAGATTGCGTTGTTAAGCTGTCAAGGCTTATTTGTCAAATTTGCAAACTTAATAACCTAGGGCATCGAGTAGCACGGTCTTACCCCAAATCCACACAAAATATCGATAAAACTTGTCGGATTTCAATAATCAGTTTAATAAACAGTTTTCTCAACGAATAACAAAGAGAACAGCGACTACCTCTGGTGACAATTGGTTCAATCAATGACAGTCTACAAAAAAAGGCAGGCTCTAGAGGGCAGCAAGCACCCTGGTGATTAGTGAGGTCATGGTCTCAACACGCTGCAGACTCGTCTCGAGGACGTCCTCGTGATTGGCCTTCTGTTCCCTGTCGTTCTCCAGGATCTCCCGATTGCTGACCAGCGACAAGGCGAGCACCTTCATGCCGGCGTGGTGTGCCACAATGGTCTCGGCCGTTGTACTCATGCCTGTTTGGGTTAAAAGGTAGCAGAGAGACAGCATGTTAATTCAGCGCGGATCGTAATTCGTGCATAAAAGAATCGAATGAGCTGAGTTGACAAATGGAACACAGGGTGCTCGTGTGTGTTCCGCCACTATACCAGACTAGCTGCCTAATTTCAATACGGCTAGAGTTATGTTAGTGAGCGATTTGCCAGAGTCGCTAAATTAAAATTTTCCAGCAAATGAAACCGAAATTAAGAGAGATTGAAATTCGCTAGACTTAATAAGGAACATCAAATCTGGGGCCTTACCTGCCACGTCAGCACCCAGAAGCCTGAGTACACGAGCCTCAGCTGGTGTGTCGTAGTTCGGTCCGCAACAGCAAATGTAGACGCCTTCGTGCATCAGATTCGCGATGCCCATCTCGCGTCCCACCCTCAATGCCAGATCTCGAAGTTCCTTCGTGTAGATCAACGACAGTGCTGGAAATCGCGGTCCGAATCTAATAAAACAGATGAGCGCGTGTGAGTCGAGACATCGACGATGATTTCGATGAGCACAACTCACCTGTCATCGTTGGGACCAGTCAGGGGACTGATGCCAGCCAACGAGGGAACGCTGATGTGGTCCTTCACCACCATGATGTCGCCGACGTCGTAGTTGGGATGCAGTCCGCCCGTGGCGTTGGTGACGAACAGGTACTCGCAGCCCATGAGACGCATCACCCGAATCGGCACTGTGACCTGAATGCATCAACTAGCCGTGAATCGGAGGTGGTGTTACCTGTTGCTGGGTGTAGCCCTCGTAGGCGTGGAAGCGACCTTGCATCACCATGACATTCTTCCCACCCAACACACCGAACACCAT